CCTGTTGACCAGGTCCTGCTCCTCCCGTGGCAAGCCGGCAAGGTGCTCTGGCCGCATCGCCGGCAAGGTGCCCCTGCTGGTCCCCTCCTCGTCTGCAACAATAACAGCAGCAACCAGGTCTTTATTCCTCAACAAAGAACCACTTCGATTTGTTCTCTGCATGATTGTACATGTTAGGTTCAGTTTCAGTTTGCGAGAGGCGAGTGACGCTTTGTTGTTTGGCTTTGTCGTGCATGTGGAGCGGTGCTCCGGCGGCGCTCATGCCAAGCGCCGGTTATGAATGTTGCCATCGGTAGTTGCATCCGTGGAGCTTGGCATGTTGCATGATGCACTTTAGTATCAGTGTTCATTAGTGAAATTCTGCACTTTAGTATGATTTTAAGAGTGATTTGGGAAGTATCAGTGTTCAGCATTTTCTTCAGATATCATTGCTTCTGCACTTCCTGTGGCTATTTGGGAAGTATGCCAATTCTGCACTTTAGTGAAATTCTGCCATTTTAAGAGTGATTTGGGAAGTATCAGTGTTCAGTGATGGGCCATCTTCAGTGGTTATATATTGATAGAGACCTCACTTGATGTTATCATGACCAACTGTACTTCCGGGGGCTGTTCCAATATTTTGCTTCATGGGTTATATGCATCCATAACATCCTCACTTCAGGTCTCTATCTTCAGTGATGGGACACCTTTGCCGAATCTCTGTGGTTATATATTTTTCTTCTAGCCCAGAATTATTAATTTTAATTCTTGTCAAAATCATGCCTCTATATATAGTGTAGGCATGCATGCTAGACACTCTGGCTTGTATAAAGAACAAGAAAAAGCAAAAACTGCTATAGTGTAGGCATGCATGCTAGACACTGTCGCTAAGCGAAAACACTCTTTTCCGTTAAACTTGAAACCAAGAAAAAGTAAACAAGCGAAAACACTGTCGCTAAGCGAATACAATTTGGTGACAAAACTGCTGGTTTGGCAGATTGCATTATTGGGCAGATTGCATTATAGCAGTGCATTTGTTCTGCTCCACTTGAATTATTCAAGCAATTGTCATCTTTGGATGGCTGCTGAGACATGCATTGCTATTCCACAGTTATTTGCAGTGATTTATTCATCTGACTTGAACAACACATATATGTTGTGCATCGCAGTTTCCATTTGATTTCAGTCCTCTACTCAGACCACTAACACCAGTCTTCCTCTCCTTTGCTGTTATGCAGAAATGCCACGTCAAGAACAAGGATATCGGGAAGTTCTTGGATGGTATCTACGTCAGCGACAAGGGCGCCATCAAGGAGTAGAGTGCGAAAACCGTCCTAGAAGCCGTGTTTCGGCCTGCCGTGTTTCATTGTCTTTGTGTCATCGTCATGATTTTGAACTTTCTCTAGACTGAATTTTGTAGTGGAGTTAATTGTTAGGAATGTGCCATGGACCATGTTATCTTTATTATCCTGCATATTGTCACCGCATGAATCGGTACGACGCTTGACTTGAAAGTATTTGAGGTTAAAACAGGACATGGATGTGCTCTATCGTTAAATGATTTGGTTATGCGTCCACATTGCCCGCCTTGTCTTTTTTAGCTTTTCTAAGAGTTCTTTGTTGCCGATTCAGGCAAGTCTTGGATGTTTCTGCTAAATTATTGTTTGGCATGTCACTGTTAAACTAAAGTTGAATACGGTTATGTATTGGGTTTAAACCCATGGTTATATACTGGGTGTGGACCGGTTTGGGTGGAAAAAATATTGGGTGCAGTTTTGGTTGGGCTGGAAATGGTATTATTTGGTTATGGTTCAGGTTTGGTTTTGAGAGGTACGTGTACGGGTATAGTTTAGTTTTGGTCCAATTATTAACCCGTTCTCAGATTTACCTGCGTCGCACCTGGGTCGCACTCATCATGCAATTTTCTCTGCGTTTGGTAAGCTGCACGTCTCACTGGGCCAGGCCCGACGGATGCAAAATCAGGCTCCCAGACAGGCTGAGGGGAAACGCAGCGATCATCCGTTTCCACAAGCCAGGGCCGCGCCTGCACCCGCACGTGCAGAGTCGCGAGCTAGTTTCCTCTTCCGGTCGTCTCAGCTCGCATTTTCCCCCGTTTCCCCGCCGCTCTCTTCTCTGGTGCCACGCCGCATCTCCTCGTCGGTGCCAAGGCAAAGCTCTTCTTCTCCCTTTCCCCTCCCTTTCTTCATGAGCTCTGGCCCCTCCCTCCCGTTCCCAGCTATTGGCGACTTGCTCGCCGTCGCTCGCGGCCGCCCGCCCGATCTGGCCGTGATAGCAAGCAGGGGACTTCGGCGGCACGTACCCTACCTACGCGCGCGCACCGGCCGGCCGTTCGCGGCCACCCGCACGATCCCGCGTGTGAGCAAGCACGGAACCGCGTGTTGTGCCCTCGTTGACGGGGAAGGCCTTGTCGCGGTGTGAGCAAGCAAGGATTATGATTTTTTTTCTCTGTTTGATTCAGAATGTTCTTTTACTTCAGTAAGCAAAGATATCTAAGTTGGAGTACAAGTCACCAAAACAATCTTTTAATTATTTTACATACATGTACAAACATCTAGAATCAAATTCCACATTATCATATTGTTCAACCTCATGCATCCTACCAAACAACATCTGAAATGAGCCTAGTCCATATCATGCAAGTACACCAAGCACACATCTCAACTTCTTCTTGCATCAGCTCAACCAAGCCAGCCTAGCCAAGCTCCTTCATGCAATGCAGGTTGGATGCGCCCAGGGAACCAAACACGCCCAAAAAAGTTGCATCGGTTCTACTAGCACCACTACAGTGCCCATACTTTGCCACGGGCATTTAAAATATTTTACTGAATTATTTTAAAATATTTTACTGAATTATTAAGGACAGTATAATCGCATCTAATCACTGCCCTCACAACGATTTGCGTTTTAGGCCGTTTGTTTTTGTCGATTTGATCGTTTCTGGCCGTTAGATATGATGTCCTTAGGGGCTGCTGCTCCGCGGGAAAAAACCGTGCCCTGTAAACTGGGTCGAACAGCCCTTTTATCTAACATAGAACACACAGCCCAGTAGGGTCCTCGTTGCGCTCCTCCTTCGGA